TTTTAATGATCTAGAGATGCAACTTAGCCCTGATGATATGTATGCTTCCATGCACTTTAATCTTTTTCATTTGATCACAATTCCAATATGAACTGATTCATTTAAATGTGAGATTCAGGAATTTTACTGGGGCATCTGACATCCAGTTGGATGGCACAGGTATAATACATAAAACCTTGCCTTTTAAATAATTGTTTCCCACATGTGGTTGGATATCATATCTCACCTCATCACTCAATATTTTTTATAACTTTCTTTAATTATGTTTCAAGTTATTAAGTGGATCAAACTTTTCTCTTTGCTAGAGTTTTGCAATGCCCCTCCTGAGGTGGATGCTAATGTGATGCAACAAAACATTACTCGAACTTCTCGAAACATTGTTTTTAAAGGTAACTCATCTTTCTCACTTTCTTTCTTTTTTGGTTTGTCTGTGTTAAACTTAATCTCTACTGCCATTCCTACTTAGACATGTATCTCATGATAATCTGGGAACTTAATTTCCTGTTTGTGACCAGATGAGTGAAGTGAATTATCGTTGTTTCAGTCTGTTTTGCATGTTCTTTATCTATAGAATCACCAAGTAGCACCCTTCTGCCACTCCTGTTGTGGCGGAAAGGAGAGGTATATAAAACCATTTTGTGACTGAACAGATGTTAATTTTATTTGTCTGGAATACGCTTTTTAGTCAGACTTCTATAAATCTTCTAGTCTAACCTTTAGACTTTAGACAAGATTGTTCTATTCATAATTCAAGACTAACATTTGAACCTAACTATGACATATTGTTTTGCTTATTCAGGTAGGAAATCTTACATACGGCCCCCCACTAAGTTAGCATCTTCTGTGGCCTATCCATTTGCCTTCATTAAACCATGCAGTTTCCATGGAGATGTGACTCTGAAGGATATAAACCAGAGGATTCAAACTCCACCACCATCAAAATCAAAGCAAAACAAAGAAGAACCCGCTGTTATTTACCCTACTTCAGCTTTCTCAGGGAAGCCTGTTGTTGGCAAAACTAAAATTCGCACTGAAGGAGGAAAAGGCAGCATCACAATTATGAGAACCAAAGGTTGAGTAGATAAGTGCTCTTCAAATCTCCTTTCTGTGGCCTGTTGATCTCACCCCTCCATTTGATCTCACCCCACCATTTGATCTCACCCCACCATAATTGTTGGTTGGGTATCTCTGTATTATTTCTAGGCCAACTAGTATAGAATTGATGCTACAGTTTTTTCCTGGACTTATTGGAATTCATAAATCACATCAAGGTGTTTATGTTTCCAAGTAGGATTTCTATGTTGTCAAATAGCTCTTGATTTGTACATTGTGGATTTGTCGGACTCATAAAATGAAAATCGAAATGTCTGAGATCCCACCTCTTCATTTGGTTTCAGAAAAATCCTGTTGGTGCTTTCAACCAATGTGTGGATTTTTATCCACACACACGTTATTTTAATCAGCAAAGGTAGTTAATACTTAGCTATTGCAGGAATTTTTCTACCAAAAAAAAAAAAAAAAGCTATTGCAGGAATTTAAAATCTTTCAATTAAGATTTTGACATTTGAATTAAAATTTAAAATTAGTAACCACTAACTTGATTTTTTAATTTTTTGAGTATACGATGGTGCACTATATAAAAAGAATAATTTTTTTTTTAAAATTTTTTTTTATTTAATTTGAGATCTTTAATTTAGAATTTTATTCTCTTAATTAATTAAATCACTTCATTAGAGATATAAGCACTAACTTGATTAAGCTTTCATTGGTTAAACAAAATAAAACAATCTTAATCTGACAAAAAAAAAAAAAAATCCTTGGTGAAATTCTAGGTATCTTGATTAGGGTAGTCTCGGGTTTTTTTGGAGAAAGAGGAGATGCGCATCATCAATATCATAAGTTTCCACACTGACAATAGTTTTGCGTTCAGAATTGTAAACAAGTAGTGGGAACATTCCCAAAAGAAGGTATTCAAGTCTACATTTGATGGTCAAATTTTTCGACCATATTTTAACTTTCAAGTGGTAGCAATACCGTGGAGGTGATAATTCTTTTGTTTGGCGTGTTGCTCAGCCTTTCAAGTTTCAAGGACCTTTCTCGACACATACTACTTTTTTTGTTTTTTTTCCTAAATATACTAGTAAGAATCTCACATCCAAAGAATTAGTTATATATATTAAGGCTGCTCACTGCTCTCTGTCTATATTGTCAAGCTTGGTAATGCAAGCTTGTTTTGGGATGGGCCGTTTTTTTTTTCCTGAAGCAGGGGTTTAGCAAACCTGTTCTTGAAATTGATTCAAAAATTACTATGAGTTTGTCAATGACTTAAATAATTCAATTATCATCTTCTTTCGTTAAAAATAAAAAATTTTAAGTTTAAGTCATATGCGAGTAAAATAAAATAAAAAATGAGAGATAATTGTTTTTTATTATCCAACCAAAATAAAAATGAAATTACTATGACTTTAATTGATAAAAGTAATTATGATTATCATTAATAGGGTACACTTATTGTTGATTACATGATGTTGTTGGACTAATTACCTTATCTGTAGTTCTAGCATATATATAGGGAGACCATTGCTGTTGCAGATTGTTTAGCTAAGAAGAGTGCCAAGTCTACTAATCTTTTTGTTGTGTATAACAACTGTCTTCCTCATCTTGGCTATATTTTGTACTCGGACATTATCGAGAACCATGTGACTTGAATGAGGGCTCTTGTCACATGGTCCCCAGAGTAGTGGAGGGCACTGCGTAAGGCTGTGGTCTCACTAACGCACCGATGCTCAACAAGTTCTGTTGTGCCTGATGTGCCATTTTTAACCAGACAGCTTTTTGTTTCTTTATTTATTTTTTTCCTCAAAGGTTGGTACAGACTCTTAGAGAAAGTGAAATTAGAACACCTCTTACTGTGAGTTGTTGTGGAGGTGGATGGATTAGAAGTGTGATTTTATCATGAGTGAATTTATTATTATTTTTATTATAAAATCTTCTATCATGTATCCTTATAATATAAGATAATAGTGAAATAAATATATTTTTTTATAATTGCTGTATACAACAAATAATAAAAATTAATTTGAATTTAATTAATTAATTAAAATTATTCACGTGACAATAATATTAAAATAAAAATATTTTTTTACTATTTTTTATATAAATTAATTATAAAAAAAGTATTTATTATACTTTAATCTTTAAAAAAAACTTTTTTATTATTAAATACACTTATGATTAGGACAAAAATTAAAAAATTCCTTTTATTATCCCTTTTGTTGACAAAGACTTTCACATGGGCTTGATTGAAGAAATTTGATGCAGCAGCATCTGCCCCACCAGAATTAACAATGCCCAAGAGCCTATCCCAATGCCTTCGGCTTTAATTATGATTTGTCTCCAAACTACTTGATTAGTGATTGTGGTTAAACTTGTTCCATAATATTTTGTTGACGTTCACCTGTCACCTGTATTTTTTAGCTAATAGAATTGAAAAAAAACAAAATATAATAAAGATCCAGTTCACACATGAAAATGACCCTTTTGCCGAAAAAATAAAGGTTGAGGTAAAATGGTTTTTTCATGTCCGAATGGGTATGTTTAACCAGGTTAGAGTAGCAAAAGGATTAAAAATATCAGATCCCTTAACTTTCAAATTTATACCAAATTCATTTTTAAATTTCTAAAATTATCAAAAGCGTTTCAAATTCTGTTAACACAAGTGATAGGTGGCACATTAAGTTGCTAAAAAGTACATTTTTTTTTATGAACATTTTGTCATGGGCCAGCTCGAACGTTGCTTAGGAGAGAAAGATGTGAATCTTACCAGAGTGATTAAAGCCACTTATCCCAGAGGCTCAAGTTTTAAAAAAAAAGTACATTTTTTTTAAAAATAATGATGTGAAAAAGAAAACATGTAATAGGTGAAGTGGCATTTTCTTTCATCCCTAACCTTCTAGATATAGGATAATTTTGTCCCTAACTTTCATTTTTTGCTCCTATGTCACAAACATTTTGAAAGAGGTTCCTCCTTTAGTCATTCCATCAACTTATACATTAAATTTAACAAAATTGACAACGTAATGAATGGTAAGCCATCAATACAATAGATCCTTTAGGTGGAATTGCTATATGATATGGAGAACAAAGAAAAAAGATATACAGTACAAATTTTTTCCTAATTGAGGGGTCTATTGAGGTTCAAGGCCAAAAAAGAAGGTTGTATGGGGGATCTCACTATTCACCACATTATAATTTTTTTTTTTTTTTTTGAAAATAGGCAATGGTTAGTAAGTTAGGTTAGTTGATTGTTAAAATCTAAAGATTCGATCCCAGACGAAGGTGAATGCCACCACCTCTTCATTAAAGAGCTCGGTCCAACCAGTAAATAGAAGGACCAATAGAGTCACTAAAAGAAGGTTAAGGACTGAACTGTTCCATGTCAAAAAGGTTAAATATTTTATATATTTATCACTACCTTTGTCACAATAATTTTTTACACATAATTTTAAATTATATGTTTATATAATATATAAATTATAAATAAATTTCTATATTAAATAAAACTCCTTAATAAAAATTACATATAAAATATAAAAAATATTATTTTACTGTTTAAATTATTTAAAATTGTAAAGTAAAAATTCTTGAATGGAGAAGGGACCAAACATAAGAAGATTCCATCTATTATTCGAGTATTTATCATTCAATAATCACTGTTTTACGATTTAAACTGCTGTAAAATGATTTTTTGATAAAAAAAATTCTTAATTGGAAAACTCTATTAAACAATACTATATAAAATTATGTACAAAAAGTCAATAAAAATAGTTGATTGGAGAGAGAGTGTATGATAATGGCATACAAATTGCCAAAATTTTCATTACCAAACAAATTGCAGGACCTTGACTATGCAAAGGCTGAGCTAATGAAATGGAGAAGACAAAATCACACCCATGAATCCAATCTCAAATTTTAAATCATCACAACAAATCTGAGTTACAAAATAAAAATAATTTTTATTTACCAATCTCAAATTTTAAACACAGCAATATCTCCAAATTGCAAAAAGAAAAATAAAAGATGAAGAAAATAGCTCCATAATTTTAACATTGTCAATTTCTTGGGTTTTTTTTTTTTAATTTTTTTGAAGAAAATTAGAAAATGTCAAGAATTTCCAGAATGAAGCCATTGCAAACTGGACAATTTCCCCTCTGAACCCAAAGCTCTCGTGAACATAGCCTACAGAAGGTATGTCCGCAGGGGATAAATGCCGCACCTTTATGACGCACCATGCATACGCAACACGTGTATTCAATCCCCCCCGCGCCGTTTTCCTCCTCTTCCTCCGCATCGTCGTCGTCATAGTACTCCTCATCGTCGTCGTCGTCGTCGCCCATGGTGTACCTAGACCCCGTCAGCCCCAACTCCCTGTCGTTCTCCTCCAGTAAGTCCATCAATGACATTCTCACCGGCTCTACCTCGTCCTCCTCGTTCTCTTGCTCGGCAGCCGCTGCGGCGGCGGCTGCTGCTGCTGCTGCTGCTGCCGCTGCCTCTGCTTCTGCTGCTTCCTGGGCAGCCACCGCATCCCGTGCTGACATTACGCGTTCCTCCGTCAATACATCCACCAGTCTGCGGCCTGCCGACGGGCTGTCGTCGTCGTCGTTAGAGCCGAGTAAGCGAGTTGAATTATGGCGCGAAATTTGGGGTCTGAAGCTCCGTGACGGCGGACCTTCGCCCGGCATGGCGATATCCGCTTGGTCATCGTGGTCTGACGAGGTTACGCCAAACCTTGTAGAGCTCCGGCGAGTGAACTGCGGGCGGGACATGGCGCCCGGGGGGTCGGAATCGTCATTGCGATTGACCGATCCTCGGCGGTTGAGATGGGATCTGTTACTCGGGATAGAGATATCCGAGGTCGGGATAGGAACGGAGGACGTCCAAGCAGCACCAGCCCGCTTCAGCCGGAGCTTTTCCCGGAAGTTCTTCCAGCTTTTCTTGTCCTTACTATTCTGCGGCTCCCCGTCCCGTATAACATCAAGAAGTGTACGGCTATGATGATTATTATTATTCGACTGGTGTTCTTGCCGCTGCGGCTTGGTGATGCCACCGCCCAACACCGCATCGAGAGTCAAGCCGGCGAGAGAATTCCGGCCATTATCAACCGCCGACATCTGCTCCAAAAGTGACAACCTCCGGTGAGCACCACCTTCCATTTCATCAAAACTCAAAAAACGAAAAGAAAAAAAAAAAAACCCACAAACAAAAACCCAAAAATTAACGAAATAACCCGAATCCCAACCCCTTCATTCTCGAGATTTTCTCGGGAAAATGAAAGCAGAAAACCCACAAACAAAACAAGGTTCGGGGACAGAAAAAGCTGAGAGATCTGAGATAAAAATGTGGTCAAATTCCTCTATGAGATTAAAAAACAGCATTGGATACCTTTCGATGTTGGGACAGATGTGATTGTGGGGACAACATTATAAAAAAAAAAAGAGGCAATTTCAGAGCTTTCAATTATTTCATCACCTGTAAAAAACAGAAAAAAAAAAGCAGTAAATGAAGGACATGAATACAAAACATTACCATTTAGCAGACATGAAAAAGGGCTAAAAAAGAAAGAAAGAAAGAAAAGTGATACTGTCTGAACAAATGAATTTTTTTTTTGTTTTTTTTAATATTTTGTATGGGAGAGAGTCCGGACGGTGTGGCGAGTCTTATGGAGATAAGTGGCCCACAGTTTGTGGGTTTGATTTTACAAATTTGTCCATGATGACGCTGGTTAATGAAAATATTTTTTCTTAATTTATTTTAATAAAGAAAAAAAAATTGCGTCGGGCTGGTTTAGAAGGACAATTAATTATAATACTT